GCAGGTAAAGGCGACACGCCTACGAGACAGGAAAAGTCAAAGGTAGAGGTAGCTGGAATATAAAGTTATTTGCACTGGCTTACTTCAACGCTGGGGGCGGTGGAGTAGCCTAGTGGTTAAAGCGTTCGCTCATCACGCCGAAGACCTGGGTTCGATTCCCCACATGGGTACAATGTGGGAAGCCCATTTCTGGTGCCCCCCTCCGTGATATTGCTGGAAGATTGCTAAAAGCGGCGCAACAAAGAAAATTTACCTGTCTTTCTATATGCGAGCAAAGCGAGCAAAGGTTGGCAAAATATTTTTTTAAGCGAGGGCAGTAAGTGGCAACCTTTACTCTCTTCGCTCGCATATATGAAGACTGGTCATTTTCTCTTTGTTGCGCAACCGTATTTGCGCTACAGTTTGCCTGTGAGCTAACTCACTCACTCAACGCTGGTTCCTACCAAGTGAAAGTTTACATGTTTCGTCTGGAAGAAGAATGTGTACACACAAGAAGTGGTTATAGGGAGGTGATGTATCTGCTACGGCTATCATAGATGCATTTTGGATCTTAGGTTTGGAATGTGTCAGGTAGGGTAATAACATTTGTAATATTTTGCCACATCCAATTTTCAGTTGTATACTTTCTTTGGGAGTAAATGAGTAACTATGGTTTTACGCTGCTTTTGCATCATTATCAAGGCGGAGGACACAGACATCGGCCTCACATCTTTTACGCATGTGAGAAATCGAACCCGGTATTCTGCGTGACGAGCGGACGCTTTAACCACTAGGCTATCCCACCGCCCCATTCTTTCTTTGATCAGCAGTTTATAACAGTATTTTCTTCCTTAACTATCGACAGGATAGAATCTGTCAGCTGTTATCAAACCATCAGATCGTTCATTATTAACTCTACTAAGTGGTCGTATGATTGACTCTTGAGTGTCGTGAGTGAGTTAGAGAGAGTTGTTTCACGTCCCCTTTTCACAATTTCCATGCAATATCATGGTGGTGGAAAACAGGAGGGACCTTCGAGTTTCGACATATAAGTTAACACATAAGCAGAGGCGGATCCAGGAATTTTCAATGTTATGTGTGTATGGTTCGTTAGGGTAGGTAGTGGTCTAAGGGTTGACATCCAGTATGTTATGTGTGTATGGTGCGAGGTGTTAGGGGTCGTGGTCTAAGGGTTGACATCCAGTGTGTTATGTCTGTATGGTGCGAGATGTTAGGGTAGGTTGTGGCCTAAGGGTTGACATCCAGTATGTTATGTGTGTATGGTTCGAGGTGTTAGGAGTAGTGGCCTAAGGGTTGACATCCAGTATGTTATGTGTGTATGGTTCAAGGTGTTAGGAGTAGTGGTCTAAGGGTTGACATCCAGTATGGTTCAAGGTGTTAGGAGTCGTGGTCTAAGGGTTGACATCCAGTATGTTATGTGTGTATGGTGCCAGGTGTTAGGTAGGTCCTGGTTTAAGGGTTGACATACAGAATGTTATGTGTGTATGGTGCGAGGTGTTAGGAGTCGTGGTCTAAGGGTTGACATCCAGTATATTATGTGTGTATGGTGCCAGGTGTTAGGGGTTGTGGTCTAAGGGTTGACATCCAGTATGTTATGTGTGTATGGTGCGAGGTGTTAGGGTAGGTCGTGGTCTAAGGGTTGACATCCAGTGTGTTATGTGTGTATGGTGCGAGGTGTTAGGGTCGTGGTCTAAGTGTTGACATCCAGTATATTATGTGTGTATAGAGCGAGGTGTTAGGGTCGTGGTCTAAGGGTTGACATCCAGTATATTATGTGTGTATAGTGCGAGGTGTTAGGGTCGTGGTCTAAGGGTTGACATACAGTATATTATGTGTGTATAGTGCGAGGTGTTAGTGTCGTGGTCTAAGGGTTGACATCCAGTATGTTATGTGTGTATAGTGCGAGGTGTTAGGGGTCGTGGTCTAAGGGTTGACATCCAGTATGTTATGTGTGTATGGTGCGAGGTGTTAGGTAGGTCGTGGTCTAAGGGTTGACATACAGTATGTTATGTGTGTATAGTGCGAGGTGTTAGGGGTCGTGGTCTAAGGGTTGACATACAGTATGTTATGTGTGTATGGTTCGAGATGTTAGGGGTCGTGGTCTAAAGGTTGACATCCAGTATGGTATGTGTGTATAGTGCGAGGTGTTAGGGTAGGTCGTGGTCTAAAGGTTGACATCCAGTATGGTATGTGTGTATAGTGCGAGGTGTTAGGGTAGGTCGTGGTCTAAGGGCTGACCTCCAGTATGTTATGTGTATATAGTGCGAGGTGTTAGGGTAGGTCGTGGTCTAAGGGTTGACATCCAGTGTGTTATGTGTATAGTGCGAGGTGTTAGGGTAGGTTGTGGTCTAAGGGTTGACATCCAGTATGTTATGTGTATATAGTGCGAGGTGTTAGGGTAGGTCGTGGTCTAAGGGTTGACATCCAGTGTGTTATGTGTATGGTGCGGGGTGTTAGGGTAGGTCGTGGTCCGAGGGAGGACTTGATTGTCTTCCATTGATCATTTCTTATTTTGGGTGTAGGTTGAGCTTGGATGTAGGGTTTGTTGTACATGCATTGTAGGGGCTTATGTAGGGTGTTAGGGGAAGCTTCAGGTTTAAGGGTACACTTCGGGTTGTTTGTATACAGTGGTGAGTTACCGGTATGGCTTTAGGGGAAAGGTTTCGGGGTTGATGTACATGTGATGTGTGGTGGGGATACACCAGCTACATATGGGGAGTTGTCAGGGAAACCCCGAACCACCCCTGTGGATCCGCGAATGATAAGTCGGCCTTAACCACGTGTTTAAGGCATTCATGCACAGACAGTTAGCACAGATGTGAAGATGCATCGTCGACACGTGATGACGTACACAGTTCGATATTATCAAAAACATATCTTGTCAAAATCTTCACCTACAAAACTGGAACTCAATAATCAGCTCGGCACGGCACCACTCCCTGTGTATGCGCCCGTTTTAATAACTGTCCGGGAAAACGGTTAACAGGAGTATGGAGTGGTGCCCTTTTATATACATGTATACTTCCTGAAAGAGACGATCTTAAGTGAAGAGGGTTTACTGGGCGGGGTCGAGGTATTTAGTCGAGGTGGGGTCGTCCTGCTAAGACAATAACTTGTGTTTGCCGAAGTCAAGGGATATAAAGTAGGTGTAAATTGGACTGTGAGACAGGTAACGATACTTCAGAGGACAAGTCTCTTAAAGTGGGGAAGGGGTCACTGCTATATTGCAATAATAAGGTAAACGTTATAAATCCACGTGTTTCTCTCACTCTCAAACAAAAGGTGTTAGCGAGCTCTAAAATTGTTTTCAAGTCCAACAAGTTCTGTAGACATTCGCGAATAATTTCGACTAGGCTCTTGAATTCGATGTTCACTCGTTCAGAACATATGGAATATCAAGAAAAACTACAGAACTTGGAATCGAAGAAAAATACAAAATATCTGACTGTATTAAAAAACCCACTCGCGGAAAAAAGCCGAAAAGGAAATTCCTTCCTAGAATACTTTAGAATAAAATATGGAAATGTTAATTTCAGTTAAAGGCATACATGAATACAATCACAAGTATATAGATATCGTTATTCTTCAAAAAGGTTGTAGCATGGTAAAGTGGTAATCGTTTAAATTTGAAAAAGATGTAGAAAATGCCTTTTAATATTGAAATATTCATAGCAAAGACGGGTAAATATGACCCAAATATTAGTTACTGTTATTCTGTTCTCAGACGTTGTGAGCATATGATGTCAGCACAGTACAGTTATACAAACAAATACTTCTGAGCAAAGGAAAGTATTCAATATAAATTACAAATGTTGTTGAAACGTTACTAGGCTGAAACAGTCGCCGAAATACTGCAAACCTTGTCCGAAACGCAACCAGGATACCCATAACACCATCCAATAATATTTTCTGGTTTGTTTACTATTTTATCCACCAAAAATTGTTTTATACGTTCATTTGCCCTGCACTTTAGAAAACAAGGGGAAAATGTAAAGCGCTTTCAGGTGTAGGCTGAACGCCGGACCTTACAAATTACAGCCATACCCGCACGCACGGCCGTGTACCGAACACACAAATCACAAGCACATTTCAGCTGCCTCTTACAATGGCCGGCACACAAGAGCCGTGGAGCAGGACGTGGTGGTTCTATAACGTCGACCCCGAAATACCGGACCCTGTAAATTAGAAACTAATCTATTTCTCGTGTTTGACTTAGGATTTTGACATAAGTTTAGAAAAATGGACAGAGGATGTAGTTGTAGAATATAGAAGGAATTAAAATATAATGACAAGGAACCCTGAGACTGACACTTGCATGGGCTTTCTTGGATATATTTGTTTCAGGGTCTGTATGACAGACTATTACCAACTGTGCTCTTTTAGATGTTATCTCAAGTACTGATGGAAACATGATCTGCCATAATTGAGGGAGTCTTTGGTTTCGCAGCTTTTATCAATATTCCACCAACGTAACCGCGGTGGGTTGAGCGGGACCACAACTTGTAGCAGTAATGGACGTGGCGGACGCTATAACTACTGTGCTGCCCACTGCACCCAAAGAGAGAGATATATGACAATGACTCCGGAGATTGTGTACAACATGCACTTGAATTACATTATCCCCAGGCGATACATACATTGTATGGTGATTGTGCGTCTACACTCTGCGCTGGACTATAATGGACCCTTGTTAAACCGGACAGTGTTGTTTATGATTAAATCCTCTTGATTCTCGTATGTGGAATCAGGGACCATATAATAGACTCTGGTGTAATGGGGTATTTTCTGCCCCTGCTTATCTATTTTTAGCTTCTTGACGATTATATGTATCAATAAACTTCAGGACGTGTTTTTCCAAAGTTCGCTATTCTGCCATCTTTTCACTTCGCACATGCGATGTGCATGTTGCTGATGAACATCAGAAGATGCTGTACAGACATGCGCAGACTGACCCTATCGACCGGAGCCTGCTCCACGCGCCTGAAATAGACATGCGGAGATCGTACAGCACCAGTCATGAGTGACGGCTGACGTGCCTCCTACCATCTCAACTCGCTCTGTACTTCGGAGGCCACACTCCGTAGGGTTAGAATAACGCGACCTCTTGAGCATCATAAACTGTTGGTAGCGAGTTTGTGAGGGTCCAGGGAGCTGTATGTTATTGTTGACAGGTGTGAGCTGTGGAGGTACATACAGTTATACTCCTGTCGAGAAATGAGAGCCGGCAGATGAAGGGGATATAGCGTAACGGGGCGGAGAAGAGAGAAGGCTTGATTTCAGTGTGTCGTCTGCTCGGCAAAGTTTGGATGAACTTTTCTAGGTGAGAATGACCCTTCTCCGATACACCTACACCCACGCCTCAGCTCATTCTGTGTAGACATTGGCATGTACATGCACGAATATAGAAGACATATTCATTGATACCCGGGCGTGTCTACAGTTTGATTCAAAGATTGACATTTGAAGATCTGTTATTGAAACGAGTACGCTCGACTTTACACCTTGTGCGTTTACGTTTTTGTGAAGCGAGACACAACTGCCCTGCTATATTGTTAGATATGTTTGCAATGAAACGTTTGTTGCTGAGCTGTGCTACACCGGCAGTTGGGAGAGAGGCATACAAATCCCAGTGGTGAGGAAACCGGTGAAGAGTGAAATATCCTGATCTCTCATGGATCGGACGGAAGCGAGTTACACAGCGAATTAATCTCACCTGGATCTCACCTGGGACGGGTAATTCGATTTGTAGTTGTACAATGGTGGAAATTGACCGAAGGATATAGGATTTGTGTCCAAGGCTCAACGGAACCGTGCAGGTATTACAGAATGCATGCAGATTGATCGCAAAGCTACACATGTAATCAGAGACCAACCGTTTACATGTTGGTTTTGATAGACTGGGTGGCTTTTCTGATTGAATAGAAGACGGGACGAGGCCTCCGGACGATGTGATGTAGGGATCAGCGGTGTGGTAAATGCGGATAGTTTGCACAGAGAATTGTGTTTGCTGTGGAAATTGAGAGGGATTCGTTGACGGTGTGTGTGTCAAAGGTCAGAACGGTTCGGAAGAATAGGAATCATGGGTTACAGTATCAACAAGTTCGTCAGTGCGGTCGATCCTAACTTGATATGCGGTATTTGCGGCTGTGTTTTGCAAGACGCTGTGTTGACCCCGTGTGGTCATACATTTTGTTGTCTGTGTCTGGACACCTGGCTCACCAGACCCGGGACGGACACCTGTCCGGAATGTCGGACTCACGTCGGGGACGACGGGGGCAGCCCCGTCCACTCTCTGCGGAACCTCATCAACGGCTTCGAGGTGGAATGCGACCAGGCAGAGAGGGGTTGTAAAGTTGTTCTTAAGCTGGACCGTCTCAAGTCTCATCTTGACACGTGTGCGTACTTCCCCGTGGAATGCGCAGGATGCGATGAAGTGATCAACAGGTTTGAACTGGCCAGTCATCAGATCCAGTGCGTGGGGATCGCGGCTTCCGTGGAGGAGGGGGAGGTGGACACAACGTGGATTGACCGGATGAGGCGACGAAGAGCCACAGAAGCGATCAACAACGCAGAGATAACCGAACTTCTATGCAGGATTAGCTCCCTTGAAATGCAAGTCGCCAAATTTAAACGGGATATTGAGCTCGCTAATGCCAAAAACAGGATGATAGAGAAAGAATACATTAAGGTGAAGGAGGAACTGAACTGTACCAGACACGAGGTGGTTGAGCTCCAATCCTCTGACTACGACCCTAAGTACGACTATGGCCACACGCCTCAAAGCATGGCCCGGCTGTCACTACTGATAGCCAAGTACCTACTCCAGAGGCCCAGACATATAGACAGTGACTACATCTTCTCCGCCGTCAAGAAGTGCTACGAGCAGTACTTCCGCTGCAACAGCGACTTCGAACACGACGTCCATATGCTCCTGGCGACTGCGTTTGCCAGCAACTGGTTCACGCCGTCTCAGAGATTGAGCCTTGGATGCTGGCTGCAGTGCATTGCCAGATACCGCCATGATACTCGGGATTCAGCCAGGTACAGCCCGATAGTGATGGTTCGCTGAAGATGAAGATGCAGATCAAGAGGCCATTGTCACCTAGGAACATTGTGTTGATGACTGTGAATGTGCTGTTACTGACGGAGGTTCCAAGATTCTGACCTGTTATATGACTGCTGAAATTGGTACAGAGGTCATGTGACTGGCTAAGGTAGCTGCTGAAATAGGTCCATGACATCTGGACTTTTGACCATTGCCGGTCAGGTACAGCGAGCATCTCTCGAGTATGGTGAGATGAATTCAGGGATAGGAACAGGTAAAGATGGGAAACGGATCGGCTGGAAATGACCAGAATGTAGTGAAGCCGATCCAACGAGTCTAATAAAGGGGAATCAGGGATGACAGATGGCGATTCAGGAACGTATCACTGTTCCTCGTGCTGAACTCACAGATGACTCACATTCACGAAAGACCCACACTGGAGTGGGCAGGCTGCTTGGGTCTCAACAAATGGCCCAAGACGGCACTGATCCAGCTGTTGAACGAGCTTCAAAGATGAGTACGCGGAACAAAAGATTTACTTGACACGTCCTTCTTCCAACACAGGAACCACAGAGCCAAAAGTCCAGTCAGTGATAGACAGTCGCTCCTCTGATACTGATTAGCGTTGTTTATGTTTCAACTTGAAGATTTTGTATCTTGCCATTTCATTTATATGCACGTAACTCACATATAATTGCAATACAATTAAACCTCGTCAATCTGGACAGTCTGTTTTTGTGATCAAAGTGATATAACTCGTATCGGTGGTGTTTGATTCCGTAAATGTGATTATCCGGATTTTAAAAAGTCCAGATTAGCGGGGTTTCACTGTATATACTAGTAGTTCATTTCGTTGTGTTAAACGTAAACAATCTAGACATGATATTTGGCTCAGCCAAGCCTCAAAAGTCGTAGTGTACAGGTAAACGCTAGTATATCATTAAACCACAATGTATCCAACCGTTAGTTGTTTAGAAAGTATTAGATCACTGATATGATCAGTTGTCTAGGAAATATCATATCGCTTTAAACTGCTGAGATCGCTGAAGCTGCTTAGACCAGCTTAATCTGTTAACCCAGCGCACAATGGAGCTTATGTTTTATTTATCGGTTGAATAAGTGCAATATTATTTATTATTCTTTGGTTGTGAGTTTACCATTGACGGCATGCTAGTGTACTTACCCATTAATGCTGTATACTAGGTTTTGTCTTAATCTACTTACAATGTTAAGAAACAGTGAGTGTGATCGATAACTAATCGATACTTAATCGGTTGTAACTGATGTATGGTGTTTACGCTTCGGGGACCAGTCAACTCACAATGTCACAGAATGCACGAGTGTTTATAAGCTTCCCTGGATACTGTCATTAGCAGTAAAGCCACGATTTATATAGCGACCTGGTTCGTTCTTTGTTTGGATTATTTGTGTGTCTGTGCGTATGCTCCTTATAATTAAGACTAAAAAGAAGATACTAGATTAAAGTAGTACACAAGGGTCCTCGTGCTTTAACTATAATAGTTCAGGGCGAAAGTGTGCTTTATTACACTATACATGGTGGTAGAGCGAACTGTAATTGTTAAGTATTTTTTCCTCCAATATTGTTCCTTGGCTTTGATGGATGTCCTGCACAAGTAACTTAAGAGTCACTCGTAAATATATCATTTTACGATACAATATTTTTTGCTGTATCTAGGTTTTTTAATAATATTTTCGGCAGAGATACTATTATCGTACCACTACTGATAGCTGTCTCCGCCAACTCGTGCGGTTTCGAGTTAGAAATGGTCTTCAGCAATCCACGCTTATAAGAGGAGACTAACGGGATCGGGCGATCTCTCTGTGACTTGGTTGATACTGTGACATCGTATCTCGATGTAGTAAGCAATTGTTTACCTCTGGATTGTCTGGTCCAGATTTGATTATTTACAGACCGCCCTCACGCAGATGGAATATTGCCGAGTGACACGCTAATCACACTCACGCATGCCTACAAAGACACACGTGTAGATCACAGCTTTGGGACAAATGCAACAAGGTATATCTCGAATTGAACATTTTCAACGCAGGACTTCAAAAATATTATTAGGGGAAAAGTCGGTAAAGTCTTTCATGGATCTTGATGGTTGTAAAACCCAACTACAAATGCATCCAGGAATATAATCAATGAATAATGATGTATTCGTTTGCCCACAACAGAGCATAATCGCCATACACAGCTGTCAGATTAGCATCAAACGTGATATGAATCAATAGTACATGAGTACATCTCTTAAATATTGCTATAGGACAAGGATTACACAGTATACTGCTTCCCACACGTAACGGGTCGAGAGTGAAAGAAAATGTTGCTACATTAGTCTCATTAATTATCGATTTACCTCACTGACTACAAGCTTTATTCTTACGTTGACAAAGACGGTGTCGTCAAGTCAATATTCCCAGTAGCCGTTTGAGACAGTGTTGTGCATAATGTTGTTTGAACGGGACGTGTCGTGATATATGTCATGTACACGGGTGAATAGTCTTGACGAGTGGTTTCTTCAAAAAGGTGGATTTACGGAGACTCGTTAGAGATCATATTCACTGAAGAGACTAAAGATCTCTTTAGTGATATGTGTTGGTTCACTAAGGGTCTATACAAGCCTGAGGTTCTGTGTCAGGGGTAGGCCATGAGCCGGTTTCACATACAGATGTCCATTATGTTGGGTGGTATGTCGTACATCGGGTTAACATATATATGTGACTTTGTCAGAGGGAGGGTATGATAGTTCATTGACTCTGTTGACACAGTTGGGAACAACACATATATTACAAGTTTGTAACATGTTCTCACCACCATGTGGATCATTAAAATGCATAAAAACTACATGCATGATTTGACTCGTCGATAATTGATGCTTTTGCTGGTAAAATATTCAGATTTTGAACTAAGAGTTACCTTTCCGTGCCCAAACCTTGACTCTATGGCTGTTGAATGTTTCTACATTTAACTGAGGGATAAAGGTATACAGAAATGGAATGTTGATAATTCCGCACGTGCTGTTTTATAGTCGGAGAGCCTCTTTAAGATCAGTATTCGTGTGTGTTTAATGTTGCACACTGCTGTGTAGTGTACACGTTGGAATAGTCTCATTTCGGTTAAGTCAGGGCTGAAGGTAGTCTGTCATACAGACCCTGAAGTAAATATATCCAAGAAAGTTCTACTAGAATCAAGTCTAGATTATGTGGCAAGTCTACATTGCCACAGTTTCAGGTTTCTGAGAATGAACATAGACTCTGGGCTCCATTTTATTATAGTTTATGAAAATAATTTAGGAACTTTTTTTTCGTAATGTGTTCATTTCCGAAACTAGATGTTAGTCTGAGCTGAAGGGCGAAGTCCGAATTGTCGAAGGTGGTAGCCATTGCGACCTTCACGTGTATACTGGGTGCGCTACGGGAGCAACCATTTCAGGACGGTCTCTAAACATTATCACTAACATTATACTGACAGAAAAATACATACATTAAGTTGGCATTGTTGGACAAACTAATATAGTTCGTTATATAGATATATTTGATTTGAATTGCAATTTAAACGTGAACATATTTACAACTGATCGAACTCCTATTTGTGTTGGAAGAAATATACGAGATCAAAACTTTTCAAAATGCTCTCACAAACCAACATTTTCTGAAAATGAAATGGTTGCTGCCTAACGCACTATAAGTAATTTTCGGGGATAAATCCTGTATTCAAAGCCAAGAACAGCGAAATCAGACAGCTAGGTTGCACTTCTGAAGGTCACGTGTATATATATGATCAGCTGCTTATATTGCTGTCCACTATGTGGGTCAGGTGACCTGATCAATCTTTCGAAACGACACAATGGGGTGATATTCCGAAACATTATCAAATGGGAAACGATTTAATCTCACGCAACATTGTTTTCATTAACCGTGCTTGTCAATTAATTGCTTGATTGATTGCTTAATAAATGCCCCGCGGGTAAGGTTAGAGCAGCAGAAGCCACAGCTATGGCAATGAACGGGGTATTGACAAGAAATGAACACATAAACACAAGTGTTTGTTCTATAAGATATATTATACCCATGCTAAATCAACCTGCGTGACAGTCAGTATTGAATTCTTAAGATTCTAGTATAAATATTGATTCCTATACAAGAACATTTAATTAAGTTGTGTAAATAACTGCTAGAGATTTAATGGCAGATGAAAACAATTGCTAGGCGCTTTTATGAGGTTCAAAATATAGGCAGCTGCTTAGGAATGAACACTTACAAGCTCACATGTTATTGCAAAAATACAATATACAGTGTCAAGTATGTAGTGGTTATTTGGGAGATAGACCAAATAGACTTTCAAAAATGTATTATATTTTTAGAATAAGCATTTTCAAACTTGTTAATTCACATTCTGCTTATCAATGTTTGTCTCACATCGAGAACATCGTTATATCTGACTATTTGTACACGTTACCAAGTATGTAAAGGAAATATAATCTGAAGGGTCATTTTCTTTATTACTCTAATACGCATAAATAACGACATGAAGCCGCCATGGATCGACTTGCACAAAGCGATCTTAGCGCTTTACGATGATTGTTACTCCCTAACTCTAACACAGACGTAAGATAATCGTAGTGCAAAAATCGCTCGGTGCAAGCAGCCCCTGGCTTGTTGAGTCTTTAATTATATAAATGACTAGTTTTGAAGCTACAAAGTCCATAAGATAAATTATTACATATTTATTGTCATGAATAAATTGATTTGACCACAGTAGCTGTGAGCTTTCCAGGTACGGATATATATCCCGGCATCTTATCGCAAGAGGCACCTAAATCAGGTGTTCAGGCTCGGGCACTTGGTTCATTTCGATGCTCATGATGTCAATCACCGGGATATCACATCCAGACTCGATTATTTACAGGACACCATCATATAGCTGGACTATTTCAGCGAGGTCTTAAAGAAACAGACAATGATGTGTGCATTACGTTTGTGATGAGTATATATGATTACTCAGGTAAAATGCTCGAACACTGCAGTAAGTAACTAGGGCGTTACATGCAGTTACAATTATAAGGAGGACATTTTAAGGCCGCTTCACAAACTAACATTAAAGCTGGTGCATGTCGTTTGTTATGTAGCCAGTCCATTGATCACAAATATGAGTGTACTGTGCTAAATCTTTGAAACCCACTGGTATTCGTGGTAGGCCAACACGCTGCCAGACAAGGCCACCCAAAACAGCCTGTCAGTTTTGGTCGGTGCAGAAAGAATGAATTCATCAACACATTCTATATTTTCTGCCTTTTCATTGTGTGTTGTTTATTGTCACAATCAGAAATAACCGAGCTCAGTATGACAACCTGTAATTAACCGAGCTCTACATGACAACCTGTAAATAACCGAGCTCTACATGACAACCTGTAAATAACCGAGCTCTACATGACAACCTGTAAATAACCGAGCTCTATATGACAACCTGTAAATAACCGAGCTCTATATGACAACCTGTAAATAATGAGCTCTATATGAACCTGTAAATAACCGAGGCTCTACATGACAACCTGTAAATAACCGAGCTCTACATGACAACCTGTAAATAACCGAGCTCTACGCTAACCTGTAAATAACCGAGCTCTATGACAACCTGTAAATAACCGAGCTCTACATGACAACCTGTAAATAACCGAGCTCTATATGACAACCTGTAAATAACCGAGCTCTACATGACAACCTGTAAATAACCGAGCTCTACATGACAACCTGTAAATAACCGAGCTCTACATGACAACCTGTAAATAACCGAGCTCTACATGACAACCTGTAAATAACCGAGCTCTACATGACAACCTGTAAATAACCGGACGCGCAAACCTGTAAATAACCGAGGCTCTACATGACAACCTGTAAATAACCGAGCTCTACATGACAACCTGTAAATAACCGAGCTCTACATGACAACCTGTAAATAACCGAGCTCAGTATGACAACCTGTAAATAACCGAGTATGGACAAGACATCCGGTGATCGATAGTAGGAACAATCATCCACGATATACAATTTGCCGCCGAATCTGATCACCCAATCGTTTTGGGAGCTTTTCACAAGGCAAGCATCGGTTGCACCAGAGACCATATAATAGAATATGTGGTCTCTGGTTGCACACCACAAGATTTCCAGGAACCTTGAGGATGTTATTTTAAATCCCAAATCGTCTACTAAACACCCCACTCCTCCCTTAAAATAACTCCAAACCAAAACATGAAACACTCCATATAAAGAACAAATATGAGACACATAGTATTAATTCCTTTTCTCTCTTACCTAGAAACACCTATTCTTCCTCTATTTTCTCACCAAGAAATACATATTCTTCCATTTCTCTTGAGACAAATGTACTTACCTTTTCTCTCTCACCTAGAAACACAATATGTTCCTTTTCTTCTATCTCACCCAGAGACACATATTCTTCCTTTTTCTCTTTCATCTGGAGACACATTTCTCTCTCTCCTTCAGACGTATATTCGTCCTTTCTCTCTCTCTCACCTAGTAACACATTCTTCCTTTTTCTTTTTTTCCACTCTCACGTAGAGACACATATTTATCCTTTTCCTCTCACCTTGAGACACATATTCTTCCCTTTTCTCTCTCTCGCCTAGGGACACGTGTTCTTCTTTGTCCTCTCACCCTGAGACACATATTCTTCCCTTTTCTCTGTTACTTAGAAACACATTTCTTCCTTTTTCTCTCTTACCTAGAAACACATATTCTTCCTTTTTCTCCCTCACCTGAAGACATATTCTTCCCTTTTCTCTCTCTCACCTAGAAACACATTTCTTCCCTTCCTCTTTTTCATCTGAAGACACATTTTTTCCCTTTTCTCTCTCACCTAGACACACATATTCTTTTTTCTCTCTCACCTAGACACACATATTCTTTTTTCTCTCTCACCTAGAGACACATATTCTTCCCTTTTCTCTGGAGACATATAATCTTCCTATATTTTCTCACCTAGAAACATATATACTTTTCTCTCTCACCTAGAAACACATTTTCTTATTTTCTTTTCTCATCCAGTACCACATATTCTTCTCTTTTTTTCTCACGTAGAAACACATTTTCTCTCTCATCTGAAGACATATATTCTTCATTTTTCTATCCCACCTAGAAACACATATTCCTCCCTTTTCTCTATCTCACCTAGGGACACATATTCTTCTTTTTCCTCTCACCTTGAGACACATATTCTTCTCTTTTCTCAGTTACTTAGAAACACATTTCTTCCTTTTTCTCTCTTACCTAGAAACACATATTCCTCCTTTACTCGCACGTAGAGACACATATTCTTCTTTTTCTCTCTCACCTGGAGACATATCTACCATTTTTCTATATCACATAGAGACACATTTTTACCATTTTCTCTCTCTCACCTAGAAACACATATTCTTCCAGTTTCACTCTCACCTAGAAACACATATTCTTCCATTTTCTCTATAACATAGAAACACACATTCTTCTTTTTTTCACCGAGAATGACACATTCTTCCATATTCTCTTTCATTTGGCGACACATATTCTGCTTTTCTCTATCTCAGCTTGAGACATGTATACTTCCTTTTTCCCTCACCAAGGAACACATATTCTTCATTTTTCTTACTTTTCTCTCTCTCTCTCGCGCGCGTAGAAACATGTTCTTCATTGCTCTATTTCACCTTGAGACATATATATATACTTTTTCTCTCATCTAGATACACATATTCTTCCTTTGTCTCTTTCACCGAGAATAACACATTCTTCCATATTCTCTCTCATTTGGAGACATATTCTGATTTTCTCTATCTCAGCTTGAGACATGTATACTTCCTTTTTCTCTCACCAAGGAACACATATTCTTCCTTTTCTTACTTCTCTCTCTCACGTAGAGACACATGTTCTTCCTTTTTTCTTCTCCCCCCTCTCTCTCTCTCTCTCTCTCTCTCTCTCTCTCTCTCTCTCTCTCTCTCTCTCTCTCTCTCTCTCTCTCCCTCTTGCGTAGAAACATATTCTTCATTGCTCTATTTCACCTTGAGACATATATACTTACGTTTTCTCTCACCTAAAGACACATATTCTTCCTGTATCTCTCACACATAAAAACACATATACTTCCTTTTTCTCTCACCTGGAGACATATATTCTTCACTTTTTTCTCTCCCCTAGAAACACATATTCTTCCTTTTTCTTGCTCATCTGGAGACACATATTCTTCCTATATTTTCTTACCTGGAACATGTATTCTTTATTGTTTTTTTCTCTCTCACCTAGATACACATATTCTTCATTTTTCTCTCTCTCCCCTGGAAACAATTGTCTCCACGTATTCCTCCCTCACCCAGAAAGACGTACATTGTCTCCTTTTTCTCTCTCTCACCTAGGACACATTGTCTTCCTTTTTTCTCTCTCTCATCTGGAGACACATTGTCTTCCTTTTTTCTCTCTCTCATCTGGAGACACATTGTCTTCCTTTTTTCTCTCTCTCATCTGGAGACACATTGTCTTCCTTTTTTCTCTCTCTCATCTGGAGACACATTGTCTTCCTTTTTTCTCTCTCTCATCTGGAGACACATTGTCTTCCTTTTTTCTCTCTCTCATCTGGAGACACATTGTCTTCCTTTTTTCTCTCTCTCATCTGGAGACACATTGTCTTCCTTTTTTCTCTCTCTCATCTGGAGACACATTGTCTTCCTTTTTCTATCCCACTTAGAGACACATATTCTTTTCTTTTTTTTATCTCACCTAGAAACACTTCCTGCAAACAAGGCGTCCTGTGAATGGCGTGAACCTAATACCTTAACATAAGCCGAACAGGAATAGTCTTCTGTCGGTGGCGGTACAAGGCTCTGCTCATGGTGGGGAAGGATGGCAAAATTGTGAGCTCTGAGGGTGTGCATCAGTGTACCTCCTCCCTTGATCTCTTCCCCAGGTTACTGACAAACCGGACCTTCTGACTAGCATCTGGAGGATGGTTATGTTCTGTGAAATTCCTCAGAATGTTCCTGTAGTTATTCATGTTGGGGAATTCCCAGGGTTTTCCCCGTAATGAGGAGCATTCCGTCTGTGTTTTAAGTCATTTCAAGAACACAGTCTCGTGTAAAACGTATGAACGCCAAAATGTGTCTGTTATACAATTATGAACGTAGATTCACGGTCATTAACGGTCATAAACTTCACATTAAAAATTATAACATGTTAAACCGACAGCAACGTATCAACAAAGTATGATGTCAATTGTCAAACTACTTTTGGACCACAGTTAGGGTCAAAGTTAGTATTATATCAAGCCTGTGCAAATGTGTCAAATAAACAGGGCGTTTTAACAACGAGGTAAGAATTCGAATAATAAAATTATTCAAGGCCCGCACAGGTACAACTGATAGCATGAACAACGATCCTCGACCAGTCACAGCCGTTATCAAAACGACTTCATAAACTTCACACACCTACCTTAATATCCAAACCTTGCACTTTGAAAATGACCATTCCCTTTTCACACGAATCAGTACAACGGCAACTGACTTCGTACAACATGTTAAAAGTATTGTTACCATTCTGCTTTCACATACGTTAATAGGTTCGGGTCCCACTTGCATTACGAGATCTTAATCGTAATTCTCATAGATATATCCTTCAGAGGGCCGTAGACGCTGTATAAGATCGCTTCGTGCAAATGGACTCAGAACCTTGTTGCATCCCGCTGCTACCTACAGCCATTGTTATGACGTCATAGATAGCGTGACATCACAATGATATTGTCGTGATGTCACCTCCGCTGCTTTCCGCCAGTGCGTGACGTCACCTCGTTTCACGAAGAAGGGTGAATGAGTATGGTTTCACGCCGCTTTTAGCAATATTCCAGCAATATCATCACGGTAAGAGACACCAGAAATGGGCGTCAGACATTGTATCCATGTGGGGAATCGAACCCGGGTCTTCGGCGTGACGAGCGAACGCTTTAACCACTAGGCCCCGTGTTACACGAAGAGACGGAACCTAGTTTAAGATGACACACAATGCAAACATAGAGCTGGCATCGTGCATAAATTCTATTTTTAACCTTTAGAAATTAGAACAATACTGTTCTGTTATAATGAAATCTTCCATAGTCAAAATGGTGTTTTCTTATACCATGAGCAATGATGAATAATGAATAATCAAAAACTTCTGGACACAAAACAGAAATTGAAGTGATGGCCTTGTAGCAGTTGTTTTAAACGGAACCATTTGAAATAATAACACCCTCTCCAAGGCTATCACTTGGCATATATAAATGAACCCATGGTATTTTTAGATATCACGTGTCTGATTCCACGACACCGGCATCACAATACCGCTATGCCTGTCTACCAGATTAAAGGTTACGATGTTTGACGACAATAATAAAGGCTCTGATCAAACGCATTTCAGCTTAATCAAACTTGGCGACAATAAATGTAACTAACATGATACACTTATTGCCAGTTGATATCTAATTGACTTGATTCCTTCTGACTACAATGAAGGTTTGACTTCTAAAGTTAATTTGGTGTTGTGATATACAACACATGTTGCGAGAGGTGGATTTCGTTTCCAGTGAGTGATCAATTTCAGAACTTATATTCCGCTTTGATAAGGTAACAAATCGTGCCTGAGGGGGACTCCACTCAATATGAAAACTGCATGGAACCGGAGTTAATACAATTTATAGTATTTGATATATGGGTAAATAAATGACCTTGTGATCTAAGCCGCCGTGTTACAGCTTGAGCCCGAGGTCGTTTATAGAGCACTTCATTCACATTTGTTAAAGACACCTCGAACTCCTTTCCGGTTGTAATTGCTGATACAAACACGTACTATTTATCTGCTTTTCATGATAACCTGTTAATTCGTAATATACATGTATAAGATATTTTTTGGGTGCAAAATTGCGTCCCTTAGAAATGTCAGGATTCGCTAGTTAAAACAAAACATTAATGTGTGTACTCATATTACGCAAACTTCCATACACAATGTGTATGCTCGAAGCGCTAACATCATTAGGCACAGTGGTAAATGGTTCAGTGTGCACTACAACCCAAGTTGCCTGGAACACTGGAAGGTAAACAGCAATCTCATTCTACCGGGTACCCATTCATTGCTGGATGCACAGAGGCAGGTGTGAACAAAGTTACTTTCCTGTTGTGGGAAGTCTCATAAAAATATCATCTAAGTGTTCGCTACCACAAATCATACCTATAATTATAGGTAGCTTGAACTAAAATTTGATTTTAATGAGAATGGCTATAGGTTTGACTCTCCGTATTCGCTGGTTTAAACAAAACTGTAACCTATGGTCGCTGTGAATTTGTACCTGTAGGACTCGCTGAAATAGAGTGACATGGCCGAAATGCTGTTGAATATTTTTGTCTTAAGGTTATTGTTTTAATGGGATCAAGTAAGAAATATATACAATTACAAATATCAAAGTATAGCAACTTTTACTGATCGGAGTTGCGCCCCTTAGCTACCAGGATCCGATTGCAGGACTGCGACTCTCCACTGTTGTACGCTGGCGTACAACGTCAATTCACGTCCTGGCATCGTGGCAACACGTGTTGTTACAGAAAAACAAATCAAAGCACGGTTACATTCACTGCATCACAGAATAATGATAAACTATTTATAAACTGTGAGGGCAACACATGTTAATCATTGTTTCATTATGAACTGCCCTTGCTCTCATGTCACCAGTAATTCTCTATGTCGGCGTTCTAGTGTTCATTATAAAGAGGCATATAATAGCTTCAATACCTGCTATTTACGTCTGTGAATCGCTTTTCTGACGCAATACTTAACTAAATATAATGTTTATGGCGTTAAAAACAGCCCACACACCTTTCCTCAATCGCTGTATCAGACCTTCACTTACTGCTGCTGGTTTATATTAAGTCACAAGATATACGTTAATAGATCTCGTTGACTGTTTCAGACTGTTTTCTCAGCTCCTGGTGAATTACTGACGAGTCATCGCACAATAAGAATATCTTGTTTGCGTGAAAGTATCTCTGTACATGATCATCACTGACGTACGGGGATGTATGTCGCTCTAACGTGTTATATTCCAAGCAGCGACAAACCATCTGCTATCACTTTGAGTGGTAACTGTAGAAAACGTGATGTATTTAGCCATAGCCAGGCTCTGGTCACATTGCTACAGCCGAGCCTTAATAAGATGTTCAACCCGTGAATAAGAATAATAACAGTTTATTACTGTGTCATATGTTACATGTAGTAATACGTTTTGGCACTTTACCTCATACAAACACCGAGCCAGTTCTGGCCTAAATGACACCAGATAAATACATATATTTTTCAGTAAAATTGAATAAAAAGTATTATAAAAAATATTCATATATATATATACATCAATCACATCCATTCACACTTCATGATCTCTCACAACTGTTAAAAGGGAGCTATATTATTAATATCAACTTTCTCATCTCTCGTACAGTATTTACCACCCGTTTAAGAGACAGTTGGTAATATACGACTAAACACAGAAGGAATAAAATACATTCAAATATACATAAAAGATCTAGAATCACTCATTCACAATACATTCATTCACATACAAGTTACATAGATTATATTGGTATATAGATCAAAGCTAGTCTTGCAATAACTTCCTATAATACATGAATTGCAGAGATTTACAAAGTCATATTGGATATGGTCTGTTTCCATCAGCCAGCAGAATTTTTCTTGTAGTGGAAGATTAAGAAAATTATCATAAATGTGCATGCACTTATAAAACAGTTTTTAACGGATATCTTCATAATGGGCACATAATATCACAAAATGTACCTCCTCTTCAACAGAATTTGTAGCACACATTGTGCATAATCTCTCATGGATTGGGCTGACAGGGTTAGAATTGATCTTCAGGAACCCATGCTTGTGGTAGGAGGCGACTAACGGGATCGGGTGGTCAGGCTCGCTGACTTGGTTGACACATGTCATCGGTTCCCAATTGCGTAAATCGATGTTCATGCTGTTGATCCCTGGATTGTCTGGTTCAGACTCGATTATTTACAGACCGCCGCCATATAGCTGGAATATTGCCGAATGCGCCGTAAAACTAAACTCACTCACTCACTAATAAGATTTTCATAATACTTTAACTATACTCTTTAGACCCCACAGAGCAGACAGGCCTCAGTTTGTTTTCTAGGGTTATCTAAGGTCGCCTAAGGTGAGAGCACATGTGTCACATGTACTTCGTTGTTAGGTCGGGGGGAAGACCTAAGAGCTCCCAGGAGTCAAGCTACCAAACACGGCCCCCTGTCCAATGACTCCGTGACCAACTAAACGTCAACCGATTTGTGGCATGGGTTCTGTGCACAAGAGCGTTAGTCGGTTATTTCGTCAAGAAGTATAGCGTAAGAGAAATGTGTGTGAGCCAGTGATAATTTAAAATTGGTTTAGAAGTCACTTAAGTAAAGCAAATCAGTAACAAACGACGTGATACATTTAGAAAATACATCCTTTGATTAATAATTGCCAGCAAAATGTAGACATAAAGTCACTTCAACTACAAATTCCGTGGCGAAGATTTTAAACTCCCCAAAATATAGTTCCCCATCAGTTCACTGATCCCCTCGACTGATGTAGTCATTTGTCAGTACAAGAGGAGTCTACATGGCAGCATTACTTGCACCTGTTCATTCTACAGGTGTCAACAAGGTAGCTTTACTTGCACCTGTTCATTCTACAGGTGTCAATAAGGTAGTTTTACTTGCACCTGTTCATTCTATAGGTGTCAACAAGGTAGTTTTACTTGCACCTGTTCATTCTATAGGTGTCAACAAGGTAGCTTTACTTGCACCTGTTCATTCTATAGGTGTCAACAAGGTAGCTTTACTTGCACCTGTTCATTCTATAGGTGTCAACAAGGTAGCTTTACTTGCACCTGTTCATTCTATAGGTGTCAATAAGGTAGCTTTACTTGCACCTGTTCATTCTATAGGTGTCAGGTCGTTTTACTTGCACCTGTTCATTCTAAGGTGATAGCTTTACTTGCACCTGTTCATTTTATAGGTGTCAACAAGGAAGCTTAACTGGCACCTGTTCATTCTATAGGTGTCAACAAGGTAGTTTTACTTGCACCTGTTCATTCTATAGGTGTCAACAAGGTAGTTTTACTTGCTCCTGTTCATTCTATAGGTGTCAACAAGATAGCTTTACTTGCACCTGTTCATTTTATAGGTGTCAGCAAGGTAGTTTTACTTGCACCTGTTTATCCTATAGGTGTCGAATCCTAGTACGGGACTCGGAAATTTTACGGCTGCTACATTGGCGCCAAATGTCGGGCTGAAGATGTTTAAATGAAATTTGAGAAAAAATAGGTCTAAGTACTTAACTCTACCTGCACCTGTTAGTCATGTAGATGTCGACCTGGCAGTACTAACTGTATCTATAACTTTCACTTTTTGCTAAAACTGTGCTTAGCCACTTCTAAATCAAAATACCTACCCATATGATATTGTATTTAAACGACTGTATGTTCTCTATATCATTCTGTATGATTTTCGAGAATAAACAATTCTTCTTCTTCTTCTTCTATAAATCTTGCCGGTATTGGTATCTGTAAATATTATTATTGTCGGCCCATTGTAAGGTGGAACTCTCCACTAAAACCCAGACCCCTATCTTATATAGTTGTATCCAAACCACCAAACACAGTCTCGTATGCTGTACCGTTCGTTATACCAAGTCCACTGAAATACAAGCACTATTCTAATAACAGTATCAAAACTACTGAAAACTGATGTGATTGTTTTCTCAGAATGCAACTGAGCTGAGTTTGTTTGGTTTCAGGCCTGTGGCACAGTGGGCAGGGATACTGGCTGTAGTGACGTCAGATGTGTGACACCACACTTAGTTGAAGTCTGTCGCTTATTCTATGTTTAACTAATTAGCGACAGTCTTTAACCATGTATGGTGCTCAAAAACTTCGATGACGACTTGGATACCCGTCAGCCTGAAAGACCGAGAAGATGGATTTTACGACGCTTCGATCAATATTGCAGCGTCAAGGACAAGATGTTCAACAAGAAGTCAATATATATGGAGAGCAATCCCAAAACAACTGGAAGTGCACCCATTACCAACTTCTTTACCATCCATGCAGCTAAGGTACGCGAGTGGGTAGACAGTGTGCGTTGTGATCTACATATTTGAAGGTACCAAATGGAATGTTTAAACCAAGGCGCGCCATGTCTACAGATCGTAGAGGTAGCTACATTGAGTAAAAGTGTGTATATATTCGACTTTAGAGTATTTTCATCAAACGTACAGTAGCAAGTTTTCACACATAGTAATAATCATTTCCCCGCATTGTGTTCATCATGGAAATAAACCATTGTGAGATTACCCTAATGAGCCCCTCTAATATGTCTAAGTAGGGAGACTATAGGTTATCCCTGCGAGAAGTAATGAAACATGAGAGATCCACCACACCACGGAGTTGTTCGATTCATCGGTATGGCTAACAAGACATACATTGTTGTATAGTATTCCATATATGTATAACAGTTCGTTAATGATAGCTTGTTTATAGCTTATATGCTTCAATAAAGTGTACAGAGCAACAGTTGTCATGTCTTTTGTTACAGCTGTTGAGTCCATATTTTACTGCCTCTTGTTTCAAGTAAGATAGCTTGTCCTTGTCGGTTTGTTTGTTGTATAACGCTGAGGCAGTATTCCAGCTATATGGCAGCAGTCTGTAAATAATCGAGTCTGGACCAGACAATCCAGTGATCAACATCATGAGCATCAATCTACGCAAGTGGAGTGAGTGAGTATGGTTTTACCCCACTTAGCAATATTCCGGCAATATCATGGTGGGGGACACCAGAAATTGGCTTCACACATTGTACCCATGTCGGGGATCGAACCCGGGTCTTCTGTCAACCAAGTCAGTGAGCCTGATCACCCCTCGCCTCTTGCAACAAGCATGGGGTGTTGAAGACCAATTCTAAGGTGGATCTTCACAGGTCTCCTTGTCTTCAATCAGTGCTCTGTTTTCACCAATCACATTGCAACATTCAGTTTGTACTGAAAAACAACCTGTTGTTCTAGATTTCAAGTCCATGAATGACTGCTGTGTTTATTGTTCGCTTTGAATCAAGTTGTCCTAATCCTATAACAAAGGATACAACTTTATGGATAACAACTTCTTGTATATTGCATGGAGAGATGTTTCAGGGTAGATTCTTACACAATTAAAAGTCCTCAATCCTGGAGAAAACGACAGTAATTAGAAGGATAATTTTGCCATGATTATTGTTTAATATTCTGTGGTTTTCATCCCAGTCAACTACAATGGCTGCTGAAAAGTGCTGTAACATTAGATAACCTGTTATCAAGATCCAAATGAGTGAGTGAGTGAGCTTTAAGCAGTATTCCAGCAGTATCACGGCGGGGACACCAGAAATGGGCTTCACACATTGTACCCATTTGGGGAATCGATCAGGGGCCTTTAGCTTGACGAGCCCCTTTAACTAGCCTCAATGGGTGAGTGGGCGAGTGAGAGAGTGGGTGAAGTAAGTGAGTGAGTGAGGAGTGAGTGAGCGAGCGAGCAAGCATCCGGTGATGAGGTGTGAGCTTGCTGACAGTGAGTCTAGCCTTGATTACTTACGTCCATGTTATAACATGGCTATTATGACTATAATGTAAAACAACTTTCACTTATTCACTCACAATTCATAATATTTTCACATCATGGCAACAATCAATGACATGAGACTAAAATATTTTAACACAAGTGAGTGAAGAGTGATTGAGTGAGTGAACATCTGGTGGTGACATGTCTGTTGATACTCTCGGTGGCAATATACGATGTAACAAACAAGCTGTGCAATACATACTTTATTTACATATCACAGCGGAGTACTGAAATGTTTATACATACGGATAGCACAGATTAAATACATATAGACATCACAGCTCTTATCTATAACACATCCTATCTTTAGATTTACACTTCAAATTATCACAAGTGCTGATTCAAAATGACTTAATTTACACATTTGTAAAACAAATCTCTCTTCGTGGGGTCTTGACATTGTCAGCCTTGACTTACATTTGCTTTTGTATAAAACTTAAACCGTCAACACAGGATTCTGTCCTCTATTATCACTGCTCTCATTAAAGACACTGACTCAGCATTAAAACTGTTTACAATGTCGCAATGACAAATAAGCATGAGCAGTGTTAAAGGCTGGAAAACTGATAAGGTATGCCATTCTGAATAATATTACATTAAATCATCAAAGGACAGGTCTAGGACAAAGATGTGCTTTACAAAAATTGGAAAATATATACAAAAAAACATTCCTGATATTATGTCTGTACTGAAGTTCATCACACCTACTTAACACCATAACAGATATGTACTACTCAAAAGTTAAGGTAGGAACACCCAATCTTTACTATGACTGTAGTTAATATGTCATGGCTGGTGGGTATTGCAACACTCAGTCTTCATTTTCTTGTTTTGAGCAGTGTAAATAAATATGAATATATCCTTCTACCAACACAGTGTTACTTCAAACTTTGGTCATCAAAACTGTATTGCATCTGGTTCAACAAACTTAAAACTGATCAGTCAAGTAAACCATCTGTTTCTTTTCACCACATATTGATTTTAGAAAAACATTTCCCAAATATTTCTATACATCAGCTGTCATCAAAATAAAATATATCAATGTATTTCTTTTCAAAATATATTGAATTAACAGAATGTCCAAACAATTTAACTAATACATCAATATATATTTTAAGAAGTGAAACAGCTGCTATTCAAATTACCCAATGAAATGTTCGCATTCATTAACCCAAACTTGAGAACTATATTGGATCAATGTCTCCAAAAGCCAACATCAGCACATGATATTAGCTGACCAGCAACAGCAGCATGTATAAACAACAATGATGTGTGATTGATGTTATGTTACAGTGACACATGGTTTGGTGGATGTTGCTTCACACCATCCCTGGTTTGGCGTACATGGGAAGGTGGTAGTAGTTGTAGCTGATGAAGCTGAGGAGGCGTGTCTCCACGGCCCGCTTCGCTCCGGTGCCAGCGTACGCCTCCAGCAGCTCCCGGAGCTGGGTCTTGGACATCTGCAAACACAACATGGTAAATGTTAATGAACCAAAGAATATGGTAGAATTAAGAAACACAAATTACAACTTGTTCGCGGTATTTATCAAAGAAAAGGGGAAAACTATGCCTTATTTGTAGATTTCTCAAAAGCTTTTGATCTAGTGAATAGGTCAAAATTATGGATGGGTTTGATAAAGAGAGGTTTTTTTCCAAAAATGTTAAACGGTGTACAAGCTATATACAATCGCAACAATTACCAGTTAATAGTTAATTTGGATAAGACTAAAGTGGTTGTTTTCAAAAATGGGGGTATTCTCTCGAGAAGGGAAAGATGGTATTATAGAGGAAAACGTCTCGAGTGCGTGCCATTCAATAAATATTTGGGTATTACTTTTACTAAAACATTGTCGTGGGATAAACATACTAAAAGTGCAGCTGCCCTGGCTAGAAAAGTTCTGTTAGGCATATTAAGGACATTACATAGATTTAAACCAATTCTGTTTGAATTATTTTTCAGGATATTTGACACCAAAATTATGCCTATTTTACTCTATGGGTATGAGGGATGGGGGTTAGATAGTGTAACAAATATAGAAACCATTCATATGTTTGCATGTAAACGCTTCCTTGGAGTGAAGACATTGACACCAACTTACACAGTACTGGGTGAATGTGGTAGATACCCTTTGAATATTTTTGCATTTAAACGTTCCATAAAATTACGGATTAGATTGTTATATATGCCTAATGTAAGATATCCATAGAAGTGTTATAACATGCTTTTACAAGCAGCTAATAATAGTAAAAATAATTGGGTTTCCAAATTGAAGTACTTATTGTTTCGACTTGGATTTGGCTATATATGGGAGTCACAAACAATAATTAGTAAAGAATCTTTTATTGCGGAAGTTATGGCAAGATTAAAATGTTCGTTTGAACAGGACTGGCACTCTTCTCTTTTCCGCAGTTCTAAAACTAGAAATAATACTTTCTTTAAAGGTACCTTTGGAACGGAGTTATATCTCAAAAGACTAACAATTGCAAAATTCCGTGTGGCCATGGCACAATTTCGTTGCAGTTCCCATGGACTCAAAATAGAAACAGGCAGATATGTTAATACTCCTGTAGATAAGAGGGTGTGCACTGTGTGTAAAGAAGGCTACATCGAAGATGAATATCAGATTTGATGGCTTGTGTTCGGTATAAAACACTGTGTGAGAGGTATATACCTACTAAATTTATATCATACCCGACGCCTGATAAATTTAACATGCTTTTGGGATCAACTGATGTTAATGTCGTTAGAAAGCTGGCCATGTATATCCATTATGCAAACTGTTTCAGAATAACCTGCTGATTAATTATTATTCTCTCTCTATATATATATATCGTCATATACATTATATGCTGACTGACCACAGGTATGTATGAACATGGGCCGGAGGCCTACATTCTTCATGAATAAAGATGTCTACGACAACTTGTTTGCTTGAATCAACAGACCATGATGATGGGTAAATATTATGACAGACACAGTGTCACGACTGATTACAAAAGTTACATGAAAGAAGAGTTCTCTATCTTCTTTTTAGTAGTATATATTAATAAATACTTATAAGGAGACCTGCCATGACAGATTACAGCGATATGACAGAATGGGGCGATCCTTAGTAACTTATGTTTAGTTCTATAAATGGTAGAATGTCTTATCATATAATTATTTCAGATACCTTTTTATGACACATATATAAATATTGCAGAAATTTCTCATGATGACACAAGAAGGATGAATTGATGCAGATGGGTACTAATTTGTTATGAAATCTTCAACATAGGTCAAACAAAATCTTTAAAAAAATGGTGTGGCAAATGTCTACTTGCAATTATATTCCCAGTACATTTTCTGACTGCTGAGCTGGCAATCAGTTGGGGAATAGTCTAAGTGAGTTAGGTTTCACACTGATTTGAACAGTATTAGCAATCAGCCTATTTATCTTATACAAGTTCTAAATAATGTTTATATAATATCTCACCACGGTACACTGACAGGCGTCATGAGTTTGCCAAATAATTGCAAAATGAAATATCCTTTGTCTCAAACAAACGACATGATTATAAAACTTGTTTCTTTTGTTTGTAGTTTAACACCAAACACAGCAATATTTCAGCTATATGGCGGCGGTTTGTAAATAATCGAGTCTGGATAAGATAATCCAGTGATCAACAGCATGAAAATCAGTCTATGCAACTGGGATACGATGACATGTGTCAACCAAGTCAGCAAACATGCCCACCAAATCCCAGTCACCTCTTTCGACAAGCATGGGTTGCTGATAACCAATTCTAACCCAGAACATCACAGGTGTTTAACAACGTAACAAAATGACATAACATCCACATGTTTCAGAATCAGATGCTTCTACATCAGTTTTCCATGAACATCAAACATACACCTCTTGGTGTGGAGGATAGTATACAGAAACAGTCTAAAGACACATGTTCAATTTCTCATAACATTTAGCAAAATGGCAACAAAAATAAGAAAAATAGGTAGTTCAGGGTATTTAAGCATTGAAAATACTGTCGTCACATGAGCTCTAATCTAACTTGATGGTTTATGATGTGGACATGAGCACAAGAACACAACTTGATTTTCAAGATTAAGTTAGTTGATAATGCATTTCAAGTGTGTTTTAGTACTCTTATTACAATGCTTACTAAGTATATCTTCCTATCTTAAAACCAGTATTGTAATACTGAGTACATATAGCTTGAGGCAATATCCACCACTTCAACAGTAGTATCGGAACAATCGCCATCTATAAATGTTGCAGCCACACAGGACACGTCCCAGGTGGGGTCCCCTGCAGAATACCCCACATCAATATTTGGCAACAATAAAACCAATATAACCCCAAGCCTTAGATAGCCAATGACTATTCATGTTTCATACAAAGCAACGCTGCTCTATATCAATCTGGGGTGAAGAACAAACCTGAATATAGATTGAGCACTTGCTGATTGAACTATTAGTGATGTTTTAATCTGGGATCTCCAAACAACACAGCAAACACGAGAGCACTGGACGACTAGTGTTGTGTTACAACTCTCACCACAACTGATACTGCAAGCACTCCATGTATGGACGTGTTGATTGAGACATCCACTTATACGACGCTGCTACGTAGAGTGGGACCCTTTGTTTGATGTCTAGAACTGGAATAGTTTAGCTAGCTAGACATTTATGTTTGCATCTGGAGGTTTGGGGATGATGATGACTGCAAATTCCCTGAATATTTCTTCAAACAAACTGCATCATGAATACTAGAACTATGTTCTAAATATTGGTCCAGATGTACAGAAAATGACAACTGAATTTGTAATTAGTGTATCTTCATTGAGTATTATATATACTTATTAAAACGAATAAGGGAACACATGAAAGTACAAGTGTTCCTTTATTCTTTTCCAGGTTTCTTCACAAGCTTTGTATTGCACTGTGGGTGAAATTCTGGAAAAGAATAAATGAACACCTGTACTTTCATGTGTTCCCTTATTCGTTTCCATGGGTATATCTGCACACCCATTCACTCTGTTTTATGTGAATGACATGATGCTAGATATATTTCATGGGCAAGAGGCGAGTTCAACCACACAATTCTAAATGACACTGTCACCATGGTAATCAAATAATCATGCCATGTACAGTTCTGGAACACAAGGAACTCTGGGAAATGGGTCAAACAATGTTGCAAGGCAGGGCATTTTCCTGGACAAGGTGAGTCCACTGAACTGTATTTTTGTCCTTGCAGGGGATGTTGGAGCAAATAGCAGTTATGCCTCAGGAACTGAGGGATGTACATTCTGGCAATAATGAGAAGCCCTGGTTGGAAGACAGGAACCAGTTCTCTGACAAACACAACCTACATTTCAGGTTCTGGCTCAAAGAAAACAGAATTTACAGTTTCCAAAACATAGCTTGACACTGCAGCTCACCTGGCCATCAACGTCTAAAATTTCTTACAAAACCCCCTTCATGGTGGTCCCAGGACAATGTTGCTGCCTATTGCAAAGACGGCTTCTATACTGAAGCTCTGATCAGACCATTTTCAGAGGTAAATTTAACATTGCTGAAGAGCTGCAATATATTTAAATATATTTTCCAACAAACACAGGTATAGTCCTCACGATACACAAAGTGTGATCATTAGGTGAATGTGGGATGCAACTCTACATAAGGTCAAGGATAAGGGTTCCTTATGGGTCCACTGGAAATTTTATAGTAATGGACACATTTAAACAGTTGGTATGAAAGCTAACACACTCACTAGTCTGACAAGTGACCTCTGTATTCTTACAGGCATTAACAAGTTACAGTATCAAACAGTTCAAATTAGTGAAAAGGACATTGGTAAACAAATCAATTTACCATATTTTTATCAAGAGACAAAATTCAGTTTCATGTGAATTCTCTCTAATTCTCTTACATACACCCAGCAACAATTTTGAATGTTTTTTGCTATTTTTTAAATTACAGATATTCTGTGGGTTAGAAAGGAAGAGGGCCTTATCATATATCATTTTAAAAAATTAAACATTTAAACCTTTTATAGATTAAGTACAGCATGACAGACTACTAAGGTGTGCTAGAAATAATCAGAATTCTGTTTTCAGATGCTTGCTACCACACCTAAAGGAAAGAAGTGTAGTTTTCTTTCAAGAGCACTGGGCAAATAAAAGACTATTATCCAAACTACTTGATTATATAGATAGTTGACAGTAAGGAGGGCTTCTGTTGAACATCCAAAGACTATTACATGTTGATGACAGCCAAAATACTGGATTATTGTACTGATGTAATTTGGTAGCATATTCACACAAATCAAAACCATCTAATATGTTTTAATCTGCCATTCCCTCCAGTGATGAAATAATACTCCTACTAAACTAAGTGTTTCATCAACTATGCACTGTATGACAACCTTACTATCAGGTCACAGATCCCACTGACGCCAGTGTTACATATTACATCCTTACATACATGTATAATATTACACATCCTGATTGCATGTCCCTATATTGTTAGTACTCTGTATCACTTTAGAAACATGAGTCTTAAGCTTATCACTACAAAATGAAAAATGAATGAGTGTTTTTTTCGTATACTATTACCTTCTGATACAGCATGGAAATCATAACATTAGTTGTTTAATAGGTACATTAAATGATAACAGATGCAGCGAAACCTCATGAAACCTCAATGAAACCACACATTGTTCCGAAACCCTTCTCCCTTGACACTGCTGTACACAAAGTGAAATTACTTCAAATGCACAATTCATTGATTCAGAAAGTCATGGTATTTCTTAAATTACCTTAATTTAGTCTCTGTAATATTCAGTTTCAATACAAGTAAGTTAGTTCATATTTTTACATTTTTCTGCTACAGAAAAAAATCCGACAATGTCATGAATCCATCATTAGTAGACAATTAAGCCAACTTCTTGTCATCCAAGATGACAATCTACTTTGAAGGAACTCCAAAACCTTTCATCAACAGATAAGATTTCCAACTAGGTCAATACACATTTGTCTTTGTGCTTTCCTCCACGGATCTACTTAACCTTCTGACTGTATATCATCAGGCGCTATCTCACTGTGGTCTTGTTACAGATAGCATCTTAATGTGGAGACCATGTCATTAGCAGTCAATCACACACTCATCACTGTCACATTGTCAATAACCTGCTTGATTTAGCACATAATGAAGACATATTTGTACGCAAGACAGGAATGATTTTGGGCTTCGATAAATTAATATTTATGACAAAATATCATAAACATTTGTTTTATGGGTATGAATTAGGCATGGCAGGGTGAATTATGTGTTGCTGGTGCTTGTTGATAGGGAGTATTATCACCTAACAACATAACTGCCTGCTAGTCTACTCGGGACAGAACATCCTTATTCCTTGGACGTTTTGGTAAAAGATCCTTATCAGTAGGTTGGAAATATATCTAAAGTATACTAATATGTCTTGATCTCTTAACTTATCTGAACATCTTGAGCTGAGCTTACCTGGATATGTCTCAGTTTGAACTATCCTGAATGTTCAGGTCAAACTTATCAGAATATGCCTCGATTTGAGTGAGTGAGTGAGTGAGTTTGGTTTTACACCGCTTTTAGCAATATTCCAGCAACATCACGGCGGGGGACACCAGAAATGGGCTTCACACATTGTACCCAAGTGGGGAATCGAACCCGGGTCTTCGGCATGACAAGCGCCTCGATTTGAACCTGGCTAAATGTTTTGCTCTGAAGTTACTTCAATATATCTGAACTTACTTGAATGTGTTTTGGTCTGAACTGATGTGAATACACATTGATCTGATCTTATCACAATAGCAGCATTATCTAGGTTCAAGTCAAGTATTATATATTTATATTTCATCCATCCATACTAATGCAACCAAGAAACCTCTTGAACAGTTCATTTAACTGTTTGGACAGATTTGGATAGATTTTCCATCCATCCATCCATCCATCCATCCATCCATCCATCCATCCATCCATCCATCCATCCATCCATCCATCCATCCATCCATCCATCCATCCATCCATCCATCCAGTTTTGATAATTTATGGAGTTAAAAAGTTATTCATTAAAGGGCCAGTGGCCCATCATGGAAAGCACATATCACACTGAATTACACTAGATCTTCTATGTTACAACATTGGGTTACATAAATATAAAATGGTCAAACCACTTTACAATATGCCAGGTTCTGCAAATGCTTAACTCTGCAGGCTACGCTGGAGGATGCTGGCTACAATCTGTTACATACAGTTAAGCCTTGTCCATACTGGTGAAATACTTCATTATTACAAACTTAGCCATGCTATATTTAATTGCAGTAACACATTATCCACTTCACAAGGATTTATTACAAGAGTAGGTATCAATATCAAGCATGAAGCCTGATGCACTCTGACAACTTTTAATACAGCTTAAAAAAACAAAATGTTGACTCGATGATTTACTATAGTTGTAACACTATGGTATATTTCTTTCTACAAGCCAGGCCGAATGAGTACACCTATCACGATGATTATGTATGTACGTTTGTGTGTTTGTGTGTGTGTGCGTGTGCATGTGCATGTGCATGCATGTGTGTCTGTGTGTATGTGTGCGTCTCCTTGCGTTTGTGTGTATTTATTGTCTTAATACCATGTTCAGCAACATTTCAACTCTCTGACAGCGGCCTGGAAATGATTGAGTCTGGCCCCGACAATCCAGTGGTCGATATCATGAGCAACGATCCACACCATCAGGGTACAAAGACATATAATCAAGATGTGAGCCTGACCACCCAATCCATTCAGTCAAGACGTCTTTCTCTAGAAAGTGTAAGTTTCTGTATTGCAAGAATTACAAAATATTACACAAAAATTCACCTGTATGAGCTGTCATTTCCCAACTCAAACAGTTTATCGGTAACAGATTCTCTTCAAACACGGTCTAAAGACAGTTCTCCATCATCAAGCAAACCTTTTTCTGTATCAACATGGTGATAGGACTTAAATTCTCAAAGACAGGAATTTACTCACGGATATTTCATCGTCCACCACCATTCGGACCTTCTCCTCCAGGGCTTCCAGTGCTTCTTCCTGCAAACACATGTAACACAGGAGTGAGTGAATGAATGTTGTTTTAGGCCACTATTCCAGTTATGTCAGCCAGGGTCCCAATCAACAAAATGTTCTTAACTTTATGACTGACTGACTGACTGAGTTTGGTTTTACGCCGCTTTTAGCAATATTCCAGCAACGTCACGGCAGGGGACACCAGAAATGGGCTTCACACATTGTACCCATGTGGGGATTCGAACCCGGGTCTTCGGCGTGATGAGCCAACGCTTTAACCATTAGGCTACCCCACCGCCCCCTTAACTTTATGACCTATATTAACTCTATACTATATCATTACGAATGACATAGTGCTACAATGCTTTGTGGATTGGGTTCCCGACAACTGTAATTAATCTGGTCGAGGAGAACCATTAGTGGGTGCCGATAGTCATGGTGTCAGGAGAAAGATCACAATCTGTTACCTGAACAGTGCAGCCTACTATCCCCACATCAGGCATTTATCTAGGGCTTGAACCAAAGTGCCACAAAACAGTCAAAACAAAATCAGTATTTTGTCCAAAATATGTATTTTTAGTGTTCTTATTCTCTTAACATTGTATTCTGAAATTTCATTCAATGCATTAAAATGGAACTATATATTAAAATTTTATCCTCTTTCTTCATCATGTAACTAGTGAAACACATGTTATCTCTTCAAACGATAAATTCTGTATTCGTTATTACATTAATTGGGACATTTTATAACTCCAAATTGGGAATTTCAACTGACATTTTCTGCAGACTTTGAGACGAATATTGGCTTCTGAAAAGGCCTATATAAATCCCTAAGTCCAATTAATCTGATGAGGAGGCCCACTTTGGTAGAAGATTTAGACCTGAGGAAAATCTAGTCTTGCTTTATTTAGAACTTTTGAATTACAGTAGGGCTGTGATAGAACAGAGCATAATTAATGGTTCAGGAACTGGGAGATAGACTATCAATGGCAGTGCAATGCAGTATTAATCATGTAAGCAACAGATCTTGAATACAGCCATAGGATTCAGAAACAGTGAGTGAGTTTAGTTTTACACAGCTTTTAGCAATATTCCAGCAATATTCCAGCAATATCACAGCAGTTGACACCAGAAATGGGCTTTCCACATTGTACCCAGGTGGGGAATCGAACCCAGGTTTTCAGTGTGATGAGCAAACGCTTTTACCACTAGGCTGCCCCACAGCCCCTTAGAAATAGTGAAGACAGCAAGCAGACCTATATACACAAAACATGAGCATGACTGAGGTTTGAACAAAGTAAACACTGACCGGGCTGGTGATGAGCAGTTCCCGGATCTCATCCCGGAAGTCCGGGAATCTGTCATGGTAGATGGCCATGCTCCAGGGCTGCTGGAAGTAGCTGCCAGGAAACAATAAGTATGTCATGACATGTTAGCTGTTGATGTGGGAAAATACAACATTTACTTCATGGCATCCTATTCTTCAGTTTTAGCTCAGAGAAAACATTCATACTTATTTTCATCATAAAAATATATTTCAGTTTGGGTATCACAGGTAAGAGGTGAACTTTGAGTGACCCACATATGTAATCACTAGGGCTGCGCAATATAACCGGTTTACCGGTATTTACCGCTTCAGACATGAAAACGATACGTATTGCGATACGCTGATCGAAAACCGGTATTTTGACATGCATTCGGAAAACCTCGTAACACTCGGAAATCTTCGGATATTTCCGTTTTTTTAATTGTTCTTTTCCCTGTTTCATTAGTGCCAAATGTTACTTACATTTTTTCGTTGTCATGATTAAAAGTTTTTATAAAAGGTTAATCAATCATAGTGATTTTGTTGTGTTTTTGCTTTATAATCAAGCATTAACTCGATTATAAGTAGTTTTTGTTAAAAAAAATAATCCTTGCAATATATTGCAATACATATCGCAATATACGCTTCTGCATCGCAATATATCGCAATATGAAAATTCTCTGCAATACCCACCCCTAGTAATTACCAATAATGATTGCAACAAACTGAGGAAGGCTAGTGCTGGAAGGTCGGCCCATGTCTGCTACAATATAACCAGGGACACTTACAACATAGTTACATGACTAATGAAAACATAATTTCAAAAGAAAAGAGCAGCTTCATTTGAAATTGAAAAGTAGCCCCAGTGAGAAGGGAGACAGGGAACATGTGGCTGGACTGAAGGGAAAATAACATGGTTCGAGGACAGGGAGACAGAGTAAGCACTTACCTGTAGAAGTCTTTAATTAGTCCCTCTTCATACCTGGACAGCATGTTGTTGAGATAGCGTTCGTGGATACCAAACAGGCATATCAGGTTGCTCGCTGGGACAGGCTGTGGGGAGTGCAGATTAACAAAAAATGTAGTTTGGAATTCAAATTCAGAAATTAGTACCATCAAAAATCAATTTCTAAAACACTTTGAAAGGTTATCTTGTTTGCAAATTTCAATGCCAACATTTAAACCGAAGGTTTCTTCAGTCCAGTTTGAGGGAAAGATGCAGCTTTTGCCGACATTTTGGTCACATCAGTTGGAGAAAGACTGATACAGGTGGAAAATGATTAAATTATTTGTTAAACTTGCCAACATTGTATGGACCATATCAGTCCTTGAAAATAAATAAAAAAATAGTTGGATCTCTGCATCTAAGTGGAAGTAACTCCACAGAGAGTGACCACTAGTAATGGTTTCTTAACATTACAAGTCATAACACTATCAACCAATCTTGGCACTTAAGTAACGACTTATCGTAAGACAATGCAAAAGTTGTAAATATTAACATTGCTTTCTGGAAAGGCCATTTGATCTCAAATATTCTTTGTTATTAAATTCTTACTTAATTGACATAACCAACTTGTATGAGGCTGTATTGTATCAACTGGTTATCAATGACAGTTACACTCAATCAGGGCCACTTGGCTACATATGGTGGCCCTTGTCTGGGCATGTACCTGTTTGGAGAGGCAGGTGATGGTCTCAATGGTGTTGTACTGGTTGAGATGAAGGCGGAAGTAGCAGGCATCAGGTCCAGCCTCCCCTGAGATCAGCTCACGCCCCTAACAACATACAACAGCCATATTCGAGAATGGGTTGGGTTAAACATCACTGTATGAATATTTCAAACACATCATGTCCTGGAAGACAGCCCAGTTTGGTAAAACCTATGAGCAAGGTATTGTGCTGACAGACCAATGAACATAAATGTACCAAATCAGAGAGTCAATCCTGAAAGCCAGTGGATCCATCTATCACAAAGGGGGGCAACTCTGCACAAACTATATCAGGCTATGTGTACACCTATTGTATTATATTTTTTAAGCCTTTCAAACACACTTCTTTATCAGTGGGTTAATAAGATTACTTTCAGAGAAATGTTCTACACATATCAGAAGATGTTTTATAATGACTACCGGCTAAAATATTTCTAGAAACACATAGTTACATATTTGCCATTTTAACTTGAAAAGAATGAATACTGATGTATTTACAATGCTACAAACACTATGTATATCAGTTATTGAAGGGTCAAGGCATGTGCCATGGTCCAATTGACAGCGGGTAAATCATAAACATGCTGTCACAGGTGGTGCAGACTGATTGTAACAGCCCTTATTTTTTAGGTATTATTTTCACAAACAATAACGACAAATCATCTCAGCATATCATACTGCATCCCACATTGAATTCCTATTCCTAGTGTGCATAAATGTATAGACAAATCATATGAGGCTTTTCAATTTGGACAGACCAAAGATATTACAAGTGGTGTTTTGCCCCAAGCATTTCAATATCAAGTAATTAATTATGCTTCTCAGGCAGTGGGGTAGCCTAGTGGTTAAAGCGTTCGTTCATCACGCTGAAGGCCCGGATTCGAATCCCCACATGGGAACAATGTGTGAAGCCCATGTGTGGTGTCATCCACCACGATATTGCTGGAATATTGCTAAAAGCTGTGTCAAACTAAACTCACTCGCCCTAACACTATACTTCTCAAAAACAAATTTAAGGACCACAGTGCCATGATTGATTACCTGTAGTTATATGCAAGACTTTAATTGTCCTGAACCTTGTTAGTGTATAACATAAAACAACATAAGGACTCTATGCAAGGCTGTCACAGTCAACAGTCCCTTCCCAAATAATACATGAGTGTTAATGTTAACAAAGAGTTATCTGCCCTTGGATTAAAATCCAGAAAAGAAGCCGAGACACAGACGAACACCAGAAACATGACACATGTATGGCAACCAAACGTTCATCATTAGCCAGCTCTTCAGGCAAGCATGGAGCACATGGGACGTATTCTACCTCTGAATCCGTCAAAGTCAAGGACGCATTTACCCAGACATCTCCCAGTTAATTTGCAGGACAAATTTTTGTTTTTCAGAAAACCATTTTTTGCCACCTCATTGAAATAGAAAGGTTTTGGGTGGGATACAACTGCTTGAACGGAAGGTAGCTATACTGGTAGCATGAAACAGACATGGTCCATAGGTGTATGTGTAGGTGTATCGATGTATCGATATTCAACATGGAAACCACTCAGGGTGTGACAACAGGCATCCAGCCTGACAACTTGATCCCATCCTCGATAATCTCCAGGGTATACGCTACGATTACTCTCCACTATACCCTGGATGCATCCACGGCTTGGCCCGATGATTTTATTACCTCCCTTGGCTGGCTTTTTATCCAATCAGGTGTCTATGCTGGGAAGTTGAGCGAACCAATCAATACTCACTTTCGCTTCTTAAATTATCTAACCGTTTAAACTTGGCAACACAATTGATGCAGAGGTACTCTGAAAGAGGTAGAAGGAGTTCTTTCATATATTTTTTTAAAGTTTCAGATCCGTCAATTTGTCAGTATGGTTTCCCCATAAATATGAGTGGCACTGCGAACAAACCTTCGCGACTGTGACCGCTATCTTTGTTGACACTGGCAAGCTCGGATGTAACGGCGGCTTAGCTGATTGGCTACTGTGAGAATGTGGAGCCAGCAAAGGGAGGTCATATAATTATCGGGCCAAGCCGTGGATGCATCCAGGGTATAGTGGAGAGTGATCGTAACGTATACCCTGGAGATTATCAAGGATGACCTGATCCATGCAGCAAGGGTTGCATGTTTTAACCCTGGATCTGCCTGTGATAATTACACACTTACATAGTCGGACTGAGCCATGTGCACATCCAGGGGGACAGGAAGGCTGGGTTTGGCCACATGGAGGTAATGAAGACCACCTGAAAGTACAACAGTTTCAGTCATAATTGAGCATTTCAAAAACAGAATCATCAGCATATAGATTGATAGATAGACAGACAGACAGACAGACAGATGAGGCCGAAAGTACAATTGTAGTCCAATCAAACACAGAACACATCTAACAGACATATATGTAACACATCTGAAACAGACCTACAGAAACTCCTACCTTTGAAGGGAGTAATATGTGACACCATTTCTGGTGTCCCCACCGTAATATTGCTGGAATATTGCTAAAAGCAGCGTAAAACTAAACTCACTCACTCACCCCAACCTTAAAAATATGCCAAAAGATGATGATGATGATGATGATATAAATATACACGGTAAAATAAACATGTGACATGTCCTGTCTTCACTTCATTAAAAAATTAAATATCCTCATATGCCAAGAAAATACAGAAACAGTCTGTTAATCCTTTGAAGCCAGACCAGAGTAAATATGTCAATATGTCTGATGTGGAGGAGCAGAGCTCTAACAAAGGATCAATGTGGGTCAAGCGTCGCTGTCTATTTGGTAAATAATCAACAGCACAACTACAGGCTAGTTAAACAGGATGTATTCTTAAGAACAATCAATAGGCAAACAATGGGAGAAAAAGTTGCCCATCCTGGGTTTAAATAGGCCTTCAGGTGTGGCCACTCTGTCAGGAATCTATAACCTTGTCCTGAACGCTTCATCATAAGTAAACATGATGTATGTCTTATAGGGTAGTTATGATGAGCACATTTCTATAGTTCCAAATTCCACCCTGCCAGTATAGCCATAACATTACCTTCATTACCAATGCTAGTGGATCTGTGAGTGTGCTAACAAGTGTAATTCTCAACTTCCTGGGGAGTATACAATTGAAGCCTAACAGGCAGTGGAAGATTTACAGTCACATTACCATCTCATTCTAATGGTTACACTGCATAATGAACTGCATATACAAACGAAATCACTTTTAGTGTAGGGCAGACCAGAAGGTCCAGAAACTCTCAGGAGTCAAGCTTGCACCAGATCACATAGGTCATGCTTAATTTAGAAATCTTTAACTAATTTAGTAAAAAACACATTTTTCTGTGCATAGGAAAATCAAGCGTGTTAACTTGCACTTAACACAATTAGAAAGTATTCTCAGTTAATTATCGAACTAGTCTTAATTGTTTATTTCTTAGTATTTTAAGGTTATTATCAATTGAGTAATTTCATGACAAGTAATTGATTGATTGACTCAAAGTATTATTTATTATTTCTCAATAATAACAAAAAAACAGATTCATTTCAACAACTAAAGAGCAAAAGGGATACACAACTCCAATACAAAGGCTCACTTAGACAAATGGAACCGATCACACTCTTCCTTGGTCCATGAGTTATCACATAATGGGTCAGGTAATATATCACACAATAATGGTAGATATTGATATAATGGTCATATAACATAGGCTGTAGTTACATTATAGCTCAAATAATACCAGCAAGTTGAACCTCCATTAACCCCACAGGCAAGTAGAGTTTGCAGGCTTTACCATAAGTATTCTTATGTTACCAACACTCAAATAACAACAATAATAATAAGTCAGTTTATAATGCTCTAGTGAATGCTCATGGTGGCCCCTGCTTATGATCCTGGTCGTATTGTGTATTTTGTACACCGCTTCTAGCAATATTTCAGCAATATCACGGCAGGGGGACACCAGAAATGGGCTTCACACATTGTGCCCATGTGGAAACTCGAAACGGGTCTTCCGTGTGACGAGCGAACACTTTAACCACTAGGCTACCCCACAGCCCCCCAGCTGCTTGTGAAGAATGTTAACATTTAAATTACTATCTCATCCTACTACGTACCGGTTCACTGATTAGTGTTCATGTCGAAAGTCTCTGTCTAGTCTGTCATTATCATATCATAATCTGTCTCTTGGGCCTAGCAAACCAAAGAACAATCATCTGGGATATAAACCCATTATCAGTGGATCCTACAATGTCTGCAAGTAATTTCTGCCCAAGACCACTGAGTTACTGATAAACACGAAGCCAAAACACAAGTTACAAAACACAAGTGTTCCTGGGCTGAAACGTATTTGGCATATGCTCAAGCATGAATGAAGAGAGGTCTATTCTGTAGTCATTGAGAGTGTGGATGTAAGGACCCTATATACCCAAAACCTTTGATTGGTGAATTTAACCTAAGGTAATACTGACTGACTGACTGACTGAGTTTAATTTTACGCCGCTTTTAGCAATATTCCAGCAACATCATGGCGGGGAAACCAGAAATGGGCTTCACACATTGTACCCATGTGGGGATTCGAAACCGGGTCTTCGGCATGACGAGCCAACGCTTTAACCACTGGGCTACCCCACCGCCCCCCTAAGGATATACATTGTACACAGAGAAAGTTAAAATATAGGGTATATATGAGGATAACTGATCAGCTTCCCAAAAGGTTTCCGAGAGGTTTGCTGCTATAGATTTGGAATCTAATTATCTCCCAAATCTAAAATTTTGGCATTACAGGGTTAAGAAGTAATGTGCCTAGACTTTCAGGCTTAATTTTGAACACTGAATTTGCCAAGGAAGACAAATGTGTGTTTCAACAGAATGTTTACGGTATATGCATCATCAAACACTCAATACAGCCACAAGCTATCGATGACTGTAAAAAAACCATGAAACAACTCCCTGCTCCCCCCCCCAGTTCAATCACTTGATCTACAGCTAGGCCAGGGGTGCTGATGGGACATGTTCATACCCAAAGTCTCCGGTGGTGCTCATGTCAAATGGAGCAATATTGATTGAATAAAACTCCAAACCACTGCTGCCGTTTATCACGCACGATGACAGCTGCTTTAGGTAGTCCAATTACCAACTGGTGCATATAACAGGGACACTTTGAGTTCATTCGTAACTTGGAAGTATAAGTATGACACTACACATCTGTCCACTCCGTACTGATAACTGGGAGCCAGCTGGAAACTAAGTATGTTGTTGGACCACGGAGACAAACACACCAGACAGGTAAGTCGTCCACAGATTCTGCAGACAAGCAGTATGTGTTTTGAAAGAATTTTTAAAGTGTCTTCCAATGATATAGACTGGCACATAAACCTGGTAGCATGATTCATTTTATAATGTTAACAGTAACCCGAGGGCAAGGGGTGCTAGGGGTGTCATTGTATATTATCACTGTTCAAGCTATGCTGCATCACTGTTTTACTTATTTGAGGATGATTATTATTTTTATTTCTGTATTATTTCCAGAGACTTTCTGAAAATTGTTGAATATCACAAACTTTACAGTTTTCTGAAGAAATACAATAAATTGCAGGTTATTAAAAATATTTTGTTCATGTAGAAGATGATTAAATTTTAAAATAACTTATCAGCAAAGGTCACATATTACTGTTGATTTGTTTTCCATCATTAACATTTCAGCAGCAAAACATTTAGAACAGCCTAATCATAAAGAACCTCTGCTAATTTAGGGTTATTAGCCATTAAACACTGCTTGACAACAGAAAGAATACACCCAATGATGAAAGAATATAATCAAACACTTATTTCATTGTCAAGTATTTGATATAAATATCATAGTTGTGCTTTGGCCTTTAATGCTTTGCAATGCTTCAACAACTGTTTTAGCCTGGTTAGATTTTGATAAATTTTGTATAAATTTGTATAAATTTTGCTTATCAGTTCCAATTTACAAGCGTATACTTTTGTTTGCCTGGTAGTTATTTGTATCAGTTATATACAATTCACATGCACGGTATTGACGATATAGTTTGTTTGGTCATACTACCGTTAGTCTATAAGGCCTATAAGCACATTAACATACGTTTTGTAGTGACACAAGTCATTTCTTATCAACGGACATAATCCAACTTAATATAGTTCTGACTTTAAAAAAACAATTTGGGTTATCATAATTGTTAAAAGACTTATCACAAATGACGAGTGTGGTATTTCATTAGGCCGAAGGTTACTATAGTATTGTGTGTACATATAGTGCGTAGATTTGACTTGTAAGTGGAGAGGCAATGTACAAACTATGCTCCACAGCATCATGTCCACTTCCAGTCCTACAGAGGGACCTTATTCCACCATCCATCTCACACTTACTTGTAATCCAACATGATCTTGTAAAAATACTTGACTAAATCCAGCAACTTAAAGCTTTAAAATCTCAATAAATGCCTCTGACTGCAACAGACCATTTTATGGCCCAATCCCTGGTGAATCTAATATTGATAGAAAAGTACCGTGTCAGCTGGCATTATTCTGTTGTTGGTACATCTCCATACTACTAGAGTGTTCCACGAAAAAGTTTGTTATCTCCTGAAGAGAAACCTAGCCTCTATCTCTGTGTAAACTGGGCAATGTAAATATATACTAATAATATATAGTTATTAGAGTCATGTACATCATACAATTTCAGAAAAACTAGGGGCGTGGGGTAGCCTAATGGTTAAAGCGTTGGCTCGTCACGCCGAAGACCCGGGTTCGAATCCCCACATGGGTACATTGTGTGAAGCCCATTTCTGGTGTCCCCCGCCATGTTGTTGCTGGAATATTGCTAAAAGCCGGCGTAAAACCAAACTCAGTCAGTCAGTCAGTCAGAAAAACTAAGCAATGAAAATCGTTTCAAATGTCTCAACTCAAACTGTAGTCGCTCTCACAGTCTCTGAACCACATTATTTTCCCTACTGCCTAGCCCTCCCTGCAATGTTAAAGCCCTAAATGAAGCAAGTCTAGATTTCCTCAGGTTCAGGATCTACCATCTCACAGGGGCTCCTTTTCAATTTAAATGGGATTATTTGTTACTATCAAAATTATATATATTTAGAGACTAAGCATTAGTCTGATCAAACTGCAAAAGTGCCTGAAACTAGTTCCTCTTTAACGTTCAGACAACATAGCACCCTATGTGAGACTGTGTTTGATTAATTAAGGATATCATTGAATACTACAGAGATGGACATAAACTGGGACCTATCAGACAACTTGATGCCTATCAGACAACATGATGTTTAAAAATATTGAAATATAAATTCATTGGACTGAGCCTCACTCCTTTAAACATTTAGATGCTACAACTAGTACTAGTCATTTTCGCAGACATACGTACATGACCAAAACCCAGTTTTGACGTATCTAGATTGCATGCCTAGCAATCAGGCTATGGCTTCTCTAACATACTACAGTTTCCAAACTACGGGTCTGTTAAGTAACGAATCTACACGAGACTAATAATAGAACCATTATGTGCCCAATGTCCATGCAATATCGCTGTGTATATCTGGCCTCCAGCAACGCACACCAAATGGCCATGTATCATTAATGGAGATCTGAAAACCTCAGGTGGCCGCACAGAGAGATACAGTTTGTGGATCAGTGTAACCTCACCACATTTGATTCAGTTTTTTAAACAGGGCAAATGAATGACTGTGTTTTGTCACTATCAATTTGTGGAAGTGCTGTAAAGCTTTTCCGCTTTAATCACACTTGAGTACTCACCTACATTCAATCAAGGATGCAGAATTACTTTAATGGAGGAGGTTCACTATATGGGATTTTTCACAGGTGGGGTCGCCGTAAACCCCCAACCAACCCCAGTATGCACACATTAATCCACCACAGTACAATTTGTCTCTTTGAAAGCTAGATATATTTGTTTAACCTTAGTTTATTTCATGGCATAAATATAACTGGTAGGCAAAGTTTCAAAAATACAGCACCAAATCATTAACATATCACTACAAAACCAAAAATGCTCATTCTGTTCATATGGATTTGATGGAGATGCTCTTTTGTAATTCAATGTTAGTTCGTTTACTGACAGGACAGTGGGATAGCCTAGTGGTTAAAGCATCCGCTTGTCACACCAAAGACCCGGATTTGATTCCCCACATGGGCAAAATGTGTGAAGTCCATTTCTTGTGTACCCTGTCGTGATATTGCTGGAATATTGCTAAAAGCAGCGTAAAACTAAACTCACTCACTCACTCATTAACTGCCATCTTAATCTCACAATTACAGCTGGAAACAGCTGGAGAACATTCAGGACTCAGCAAAAGTTTTCACAATCCCTAGTTTTGGGGGCTTATGAATGAAGGAATACCATTCTAAAACTAATAGCTTCTTATAGTCCTCACGTTATCATCCACTGGTTTGCTTCGCCATGACCAAATTACAGGTCACCAGGATGCAGCTGAAATACTGCATGTAGTCTTCTTATAATATATATAAACATCAAAAGGATGTGATTTCCTACGGACAACATGCTATTTAAAACACTATAAGTACAAACCTTTTACTTTAGCAACCTGGACTGTGAGCCAGAATGTGTTCAGTCAAGCCATACTTCCTCAATGCCTTCACAACCCAGTAAACATGTTTGGATTTAATGAGCACAAGGACAGGAAGATATATATTATATATATTATAAGTCAACTGTCCTGCACATTAGTAATAAATCACAAAATACATACCAAACAGTAGACAGTGCAAAAAGTTAAACTGTCACAAATACTTTATTCCTCGCTTGAAGTAGAATAGCAACCTTGGTGTTGACAAGGATAAAACCACCAGAGTCTTCCGAACTTGGAAGTCTGACAGGAAGTATTTAGCTTTTATGTCAAGGGTCAGGCTGAGTGACAGTTGGATCCTGTCACAGGCTCGGAATGTTAGGCTGTGTATGGTGAAGGTCGTGGAGCTAGTGTTGCATGTGGAACACTGTCAGCCCAGGTGTCACCGAGGATTCTTGGACACTTCCCCGACACCTGATGTGGTCAGTGATGTGTTTGTCAGCATGCAGGCAAGGTTGTGGGACTTACTTTCTTAACGTTTTCAATTCCTTGACATCATCATCAACAGTGTGTTGCTAAATATCGTTATTCATTGTGTCACATTTACATCAGTCACTCATACGACCCTGCCACAAAAATACCCTACAACTTTCTAGCAATAGAAAGTCTACACTACTTTGGCAAGTCTAGATTGTTTTTTTCACCTTTGATTTTTTTTTTCTATTATATTTAGGATGACAATTTAAAAGAAACAAAATCTTCCAATATTTCATTCATTTCTAGGTTCATTGTCTGTTCACATTTACGCCTAACCATTAGCTCAGTCTATATCGAGCAAGATCACGAAAATGAGAAAGAATTGAGAGTGCGCAATTTGACTGGTGAAATGGTCGTCATCCCCAGTAAGTAGTCCAGTGTTAGCAATGTAAAGGCCTGTGACAGACCAGTGATTGATCAGCTACTCATCACTGAAGCAGTTCCTCACATGAAGTGTCAATCAGTTCTAAAGAATATCTATTTTTCCAACATCACACATGCATTTTAATTGTACAGTCATTCTTTGAAGTTATAAAATGTGGCTAGTAAAATGTTTCTGGATTCATAAAAACTGAAATTTTCAGATCATATCAAATGTTAGTACCTTGACTCGCAGTATTTAAAAATACATTAACTGTTTGTACAATGGTTGATTGCAACAGACTGACATTTCCCATCCTGCAGTGAGACTTGAAATCCTGAAAGACACTTATCAGCTACAGCTTTGAGATGAACAAATATTTTCTCTAAAGAAGCTAAACAACTTTATGTTTTTTCACAACATAGTGTGTTTCAATGCATGCTGACAGAGACACAAATATTTTTTTCTTCTCGTTCTTCAAGAAATTATCTCAATGTGTTGTCATGCAGACAGTGTTTAAGCTAGTTGTTTAACCTTTTGCTTCATCATGCAGTTAAGGCTATTGTGAGAAAAACCTTTGGCAGTAAAAGCTCTATTTTCTATTCAGCGGAAAGACAACAGCGCTTCTCATGCGTACATGTATTTTCTTCCAACTTTTTCCCCTTTTAGAATCAGAAGAATCCTTAATACAATTATTTTAAAACATTTTGCTCAAGGGCCTTGACATTTTTTCATGTACTATTTGAATACAACTGCCTCTGGATAAAAGCAACCACAGTAGAAATGAGAACTCTTTACCCCTTTTATAGAAC